GAAAGGAAGATATAAGGTGTAGTCATGCAATTAAATACTTGTTCGGTTTGTTTGAAAGTATTGTTCGGTTAAATGTTTTGTGTGCCCACTTAGCAATCGCATGATTAGTTACATCCGCATGCATCATTACATATTAATTTTTGGTTATTGGGACTTTTAAGTCTCATTCCCCGTAGTTAATATTTTTACAGGAGCGAATCCGACCGAGAAAGCACCAGAGGTGTAATTATGGTGTATGAGACACCATCTTTTACGTTGCCTCTTATTTTGGATTATACAATGTATCTTGTGCCAACTTAGGACATATCTTGTTTGTGGAGCATGTAAACTCTAATCCTTTTTATTAAATGCATTTATATGTCCAAGAGGATTATGTCTGTCCCTTTTGATTCATGACCTAATTTGAATAACATGCTATGAGGATCATGTCTGTCCCTCATGGTTCTAATTGCTTTTTGAGATATTTTAAGACCTGTGGTATATTGTCTTGGATGTATCATGGTAGAAATTTTTCTACCATGATAAGGGTATGATAAGGGTTCAATAAAAAAAAAGAAAAAAATGATTTATTGAATTAATGATTTGCGAAAAATCGGTTTGTAAATTTGAGGGTGTTACACTCAACTAATGCACTAAAGCACTGGTTACTGAGACAAGATTTCACAATTAGCAAATCTTTCTTCTGAACTCTCAAACAAGAGCTTATTCTTTTCCGAAAGATTGGATATGGTTAGATCGAATTCTAGCATAACCTAGTCTGCTAAAACCAAATCCTGTTTCACTTAAAAAAGACTTGCAGCATTCTTTTTCCTATTCCTGTGATGATTTCTTTCATTTGCACCTTCCCCCAAGAGCAGATTAGGATGCAACTTTACTTTTCTATTCTTCAGCAGATTACTTGCTCCAAGAATGCTTGCTATCAATAGTTAAGGGAAAAAAAGGAAAGGTGAGGTAGGGCGACCAGCCTACTGTGGCATTAAGACTAATTTAGTCTATTTAGCGACTCTTCCTAATTTATCAATTATACTAAAAGTAAGTCATTGCCCAAGGTCTGAAAACATGCTTTGTACTCAACCCAATGATCCACACTTTAAGGCCAAACCCACAAGTCACTTTCAACTTGCAATAGCTCTTTGAGATTAAAAATCTTAGGGCAATTAAAAATTAAACCCAGATTACTTATCACAAAAGGAATTAGGCATACTCAATTGTAGTGCCCTAGCTTTGTTGTACCATATCTTCTCTATACCTAAGAGGGACTTCTCGAATGAGAATTCATACCCGAACTAGGAGATCTAGCTTGCCTTGAACTAGCCTTGTGGTATAGATAGCGAGTCCTACAGAGAAAGGGCGAAAGCTCCATATTATGTATTTATAAATGGTTTAATATAAAGGCTTAGCACCTTCCTTTGGTTCTAAGCATTGCTCTAAGCATTTCTATAGGGGGCTCTCTCATTAGCAAACCGGAGGGCTGACCATTCTAACAAATTAGCCAGGGTCCTAAAAATGACAGGTGACTTATTATTGGAGGGAATCAACATTTCTATTATTTGCATGATTATTCGAGGTTTGATCTTCCTGGAACAACCTCACTTGAGGCGTTCTCGAGGTTAAATGAAAAAATAGCTCCAAGATGATGAACACGAAATAAAGTTTTTCGAGTAATTAAAATGTTAAATGAATGAAAGGCCTTATCCTGAATATTTTTAATATATTTAAATTAAATTACAATCATATTGTAATGGCTATTTATTAATAGAAGTAAACTTTTACAAGTTTATAATTTAAATTTATGATACGAGTTTACATTCCTGTCATAAATTTATTTAAATTTATGAGTTTAACAACTTTATTGAAATGCATTGATATTTTTATTTCGTTCCCTTGATACTGTTTATTTCTGTCTTTGGACACTGTGGAGTAATTTCAGATTTTCTAAATCTTTTTTGAAATCAATTTCCTACTAGGAATTTCTTGAAAATTTTCCGTTGTTTTTCCTTCGACATGTCTCATGTAATAAATGAATTTTATGTTTATCATTGAGACATTTTAATGTTTATTTTGTCATTCTTGTTTAAAATTTTAAATTCATTTTTTGACTCGATGCTATTTAAAAATAATATGTAATTTTTAATTATTAAGTCTTCATAATTAAAAAAATTATTAATATAAAATTACTTTAACCAACAAACACTTGGTTTAACTAGTTGAGGGGCTTGAATTAACTTATAATTGGCATTCTCAAGCACCCATAAAGCTGCTAGGTTTTTTAATATATCGAGCAATGGGATTAAAAAAAAAGCATAAAATGACTTTATGTTTATTTTTTGTCAATAAAAATAATGCAAGTGAGTATTCTAAATTCTTCTAAGATTTTTTTTTTTTTTTTTTTTGCATTTTGATTTAGGGGATACACACACATAACACTGTTTATCCACGCAAGGATTGGTCCTGGTATGTCATTGTAAATAATGCTATATATAATATTTATGAAATATTATATTACTTATAAGTGATAAATAATACAACTTAACTTTTATATGCCCATAAAACGGGGCGTGATTTTACCTGGGAACAAACAGATTCCCATCACTTTGATAATGAAAAACATAACTTTAGGATTTTTTACTTTACTCAAATTTTATTATAAATTTTTATATTTTTTTTTAACATTTTAGGTCTTTATATTTTTTTCATCTGCACCTTAAATTCCTTCACAAGCAGTGTTATAAGGATCTAAGGTGCAAATAGAAAAAAATATAGAGATATGGAATAAAAAAAAGAAAAAATTATAATAAAATTCGAATAAAATATAAACATTTAAAATTATGTTTTTCCTTCCATGATCAATTTCTAGGACCCCGATGCATGGTCAAATTGTTTTTGATAAAAAAGGATCACGAATCACCGAACGCGGATCAAAATGAGATTTTCGTTCTTTTGTGGATAAGTGGGTCTTCAGAATCTAAGCCCGAGCCTATGATCATCTCCTTCTCTACTGTCACCTTTTTATCCATTACGTCCTAATATGAAAATAATAAAATAAATTATCTCAAGCCCTAGTTATGCAGCAGCCAAGAGCAAATTAATTCTCTGTGAGAGGTATCTTTTCTATGACGCGCTTTTGAAGTATGGGTAAAAATTTTAGAATACCGGAGCTCAAGCAAAAAAATAAAAATAAAGTAAAGTAAATATATAAAACAATTAATATTATTTTGATGATTTTAAATAAAATTAATAAAAATGTTAATATTAAATTTTAAAATATTACAATGAGAGGTATTTATTTAATGTCATAAAAGATTTCATGAGTAAATCAAACGGCATTAAGCCATTTAGGCACTGCTTTTCTCATTCCAATGTTTAAACACACACTGGTCATCATGACTCCTCCATAATTGGTGCATCCATACCTTGTTCACAGTAGCTATTTGATACGAGACTTACATATAATGTCATGCAAGCACGGCCAGTCAATTCTGCAGAAGAAATCTCAAGAGGTATAACATGAAAGAAAAAAAAATTGTTCTTTTGCAGTGAACATTTGCAATAGACTTGATTGTTTAATTATCATAACTTTGTTCAGTACAATACACTCAAATATTCTTATAATTAAATGTCGCAATTCTTTTCCTTTGTCTTCTCTCCCAATGAATCTCATTCCTTTGGTCATTCCATTGGTGGGACGTCAACGGAAAGACAAAGTGAGTGCGAGGACAAGAGATGAAAAATGAGATTATTTGGTCTTGAATGTACATTTTCGTTATTGATTCACAGAGCGTCGATGGCAAAAATACATACATACGTACATCACATCATAATTGGAATGTTGTTAAAGTATTCTTAATTCTAAAATATATTATTTATTGTCATTAAATTATTTTATAAATGAATGTATTTTGATCTAGACGAAGGTAATTATGCCTTCGTCAGTATGAAAAAATATATCATTTCTTTTCTTTTTTTATTAAAAAATTAAATAAAAGTATTGAAGCGATTAGTTCTAAATATGTTGCAAGATCTTTTTTTTATTTTGATATAAAGAAAAAAAAATTACATTTAATTGCTTGCCAAAAAACTTATTCGCAAATAAAGATCAATATCAAATTTTATTTTTAAAAAAATAAATCTATATTTTAATTTTAATAACAATTTATTTTTTATTGATTATGATTTACAAATAAATTTTTTGCCAAACTCTCGAATGTCATCCTCCTAGGGCCATTTATGCGCACAAAAGAAGGATCATGAATCGGCCAATGAGATCGATGATGGGATCGTTGCGCAAACATGGATAAGTGGCTGCTCAGAATCTAAGCCCAAGCCATTACTACGGCGAGTGCCGTTTCAAACTCATGAAGTGACTGGGGGGCAACTTAAATCTATTACCATATCACCATCAAGTCATAAGTTCCAATGGCCATGATATCTTTCTTCACTCGCACCTTTTTGTTCCATTACACAGTCAAATGAAAATAATAAAATAAAACATATATATATAATAAATAAAAGTATTTTGATTAATTTTCAACGAAAACAATATTGCAATAAGAGATAATATATATTACTTTTACATTATAAAGAATTTCATAAATAGATCAAATGACATTCATTTGTGTACTCAATAAACTATCTTAATGTAATTGGAAGGACCATTAAACAATTACTTGGAAGCGCTTTTTAAGCTTAGAGGTGACATATCCTAATCCTGGTGATCCACCAAAAATCCAGATCTAACTCAATTTTTTTCAATTAAAAAAAATTCACAAAGTATCTTATTTTTTCCAATTAGTTTTAAAAAATTCACTCACACCCTCCCACACGCATATACATACTAAATTATTTCATACTCTCATTATTTATATAATATAACAATAAAAAACCTTTCATTACAGCAACCAGTATAAAACAGTCACCTCTGATTCACATCCTATTCCCTCCCCCCCCCCCCCCTCTCTAATCAACATACGAGGCATTTCGGTTAAAAGAGGAGAATGGAGGGGAGCGAAAAGCTAACCAACGTTGTTAAAAGAGGTAAGCGAGCAAGCTTAAGTTTAGATGCATTTTTCCTTAGATACTATTGAACCCACAGACACCGCATATCCCAGGTATATTCTGTACCATAAAGTTTCGTTTTTTTTTTTTTTTTTGGTGGAGGGCAACAAAAGGTAAACAGCAGGAAAATTACAGAACAAGTTGGATAGGTTAGTAGGTAGGTGGCCCCTGAAGCACATGGGAAAGTGAAGTATTTGGCGAGAGCTAAGACAAACCACATCGTGTTTAATTTTCCTTTTTGGGTGGATGCCACGCAAATCGCACGACTTATGAACAGCACGATGATAAAGCTCTTGATCCTTCTGGGGGTCTATCCACAAGAACCATTCCTGCTGGATTTTGAGTAGGCTGGGCCCTCGGCAATCTCTTGGCTGTTAACAGAATTCACGGGTCACGGTGAAAAAAGTAAAATAATTCAAAACAAAAGCACATGGGAGACATGGGTATTTTTTTCGCAGTTAAGACTTCAGACTTCAATCCCAGGCAAAAACAGTGCAAATATCGCCCTCCCCTACAAATGATGAACAGACTTTTCCCTCGAGGAGAGTATCTCTTCTTTGGTTTCATGTTTCCCCTTCTAAATTATCCTAAACGCAACTCAATAAAGGAAGCAAACCAAACACAAGTCAAATTAGGATTATTAATCGTCCCCGATAAGAAGCTGAAACACTGACACAGGATAGGAAAGGACTCGTACCTATTTCATAAAATACATCATTTACATTTGCTGCAGTTTTGGCAGAGGTCTCCATGAAAAAGAGACAATTTTCCTCGGCATATACACGTGCCTCCTGCAATGCCAATATTAGAAATTATGAGCTGGTGGTTAAATTCCGTTAAAAGAAATTCCCCAACAGTGTAATGCAATATCGCTTCACCAGAGTTGCCACTGAACTGATTAGATTGTGAAAGGAAATATAATCCTTAATAAGATTATACACCATGAAACGAGTAGTTAAAAAAATAATAATAATAATACTTACTTCAGCTGTCACTTGCCTCCTATCTTCCAGGTCAGCTTTGTTACCAGCAAGAGCCATGACCATATTAGGGTTCCCTGAAACAAACAAATTGAATTCATTCATTAAATTTCTACATATGCAACCACAGACCCCGCACGCCAAAAGGGTTAGAACTTATATCACTTTTGAAAGGAAACCTGTCAACTGTTATTTCCCGGGTCGTAACACAGCAGTGATCAATAATTTGTTATCTTTATTTCATGATATAGGAGTCGTAGATCAGTGATGGAGAAGTTCAAGCACATATACATATAATATCATAGGTAAAATACATATTATTTGATGTCGTCTTCAAAACTGGGAATTGAGGAAAATACAAGTCAGAAAATCATGCAGGGGGAAGACCAATGTCATTGATGAGTTATAATTACATTTGGGGGATATTTTGATCCATTTTCTATAGAATTGGGCTCATTGATGTTTTTGTAAATTATTGGTAAGTATGGAGAGAATTGAGTAAAAATTGGTCTAAAGCAAGCAAATATTATTTTTCACTGGTTTTCTCTGGTGCCCTAGCACCAACTTTGTGGTGCCGCAGCTCAATAACATGAAAATAGTGATCATGCTCTTTGGTGTTGTAGCACTATTGCATACCCAAAACAAACAGCTTCACTAATACACGATTTTTGAGGGTTTCTTGCGTATAATTTGAGGGTTTTCTTCATTTTACTCATCTGGACTTGAGAGGAGGCTTGGGGGCTCAAATGAAGGTGAAGGTATGGGGATGCAAAAGGTCAGTGGTATAAGTGGAAATTCAGCACTGATTACTGGTTTTCTCTTTCAATTCTCTTCCTTTCTATATCTTTTATTTTGTGTTTGGTTGGCTTTCTATCTTGCTCACGGGAATGGTCAATTTATGTAGCTACACCTTTGTTTATAGCTTGATTATGGATCAATGGATGATAACAACCCATTAACACATTTGCTGCAGGTTGTCATGGCAAGGACATAATGATGGATATCTCGTTGGGTCTTCTTTCGAAACCCAAGAAGCTAGGTTTATAATTTCACCCTAGTTTACTTTCTGTTTGTATTTCAGATTTTACGGGATTAGAATAATTTAGATTTAGTTAGATTTAATTCTATTACTCCTGCAGATTTAGTGGGCTTTCTGTTTCTGTAATATTCCTATACAGCCCTGCAAGCGGAACTCAGTTATGACTAAGAGCCTGAGCTTTCACACTTAATTACATAGTTTGAAAACAGCAAAAACAAGTTACAAAGTTGTTAAGTTACGGGACTAATATTAGGATGAAACTGGTGATTATACCAATATTTTTGGCTCTACTTTTTCATTGTATACATTTAACACGCATCTTTTATGTCACAGTAATCTACTTAAATCAAACATTCATAGAAAAAGGAAATCAGCAAATACCTTGCTTTTGAAGTTCTTGGACCCACTTCTTTGCACGTGTAAATGAATCCTGCAAATAAAATGTACAAAACCTATCACATGAAACCTTGGTGCACAAAGGGAATTAAAATCTCAAAAGCATAGTCTAGCAGCAAACCCTGACAAAAGATCAACATCCAACCCACACCAAATCCAATGCTCATGAAAGATGTCAAAATGGCCACACTACTTCCCAATGCAAAAAAACAATGGCTGTTTGTCTCAAACTCCAACGACACATTACACAAACAGCATATGAAATAGGCTTCCTTGGTCTACAAGTTAGAAACATATCATTTGTATTTATTCTAACAGGCATCATAGGCCAGAAGAAAAACTTAACATTTGGATAATAAATCAGAAAATTAAAAAAAAAAACAAAAGGTATTGCATGTATATAATCCCAACGAATCCAAAAGTTAAAACCTTTTACCGAGGAAATTAGAAACATGGATAGGAGCATGGATATCCAATAATATCATTAATACTTTAAGAGAAGTGAAAATTCCAGTAAAAATAAGAAATCCAAAGAATCTTAAAGATAACAAAAAATCAGTCTAATGTTCTAGAGTTTCCTACTTCCAAATCTTCCATCATTCTCTCTTGCTTGAAAGAACTTCCTTCGAAGAGTAAGGCTGTCAATACTTCATGATAGTTGGATGATCATGGTGTTTGGATGATGCAGGAACTTGTTCCATGATCGGTAATTATTCTTGTTGCAGGGGAGGATCAAACATCGAGAGCTACATGGAGATATACAGGTATAGGCTATGGTTCCAGAATCCGGAAGTTGAGAGCTATACAAGCGTAGATTATGGTTCCAGTGAGCTTTTTGGCAACAAAAGCGTTTACAGAGTATAGCAATGCAAGCTCTAATGCCAAACTAATGCTTAACAAGAGGGAGGAGAGAGAAGAGAGGAGGGAGATGCAGACCAAATTGAGAGAGTGACCACAAAATATTCAACTTTATTCAATTCATTGAAAGGTTTGACAAGTAAAGAAAAAAAATTTTTCTTTTTAAATAATCACAAGTAAAGAAAAACTTGGCTCAAGTTACAGGGCTTTAGCCATAACCCTAATATAAAAGATAATCTAAGCAAATCACAATGTTCAAATGTAAGCTGGCACTAGTAATTTAAAAGATTAGATTTATTCGAACAAAATTGTAATACAAATCAAATCTAAAAGATCATTATAATAAAACAAGAAATCCTAAGAATCTAAAAGATAACATAAAAATCAATCTAATATTCTAATGCTTCGTGCTCCAAGTAGGAGTCTTCCATCTTCCATCAATTTATGTATGTATGTATTACCTACTTCAATACAAATTCACAATATCATGAGGGAGAGATAACATACTGTGCTAGTAATATCATAGACAATGATGGCAGCAGCAGCTCCTCTGTAGTACATGGGAGCCAAGCTGTGGTACCTCTCCTGTCCAGCCGTGTCCCAAATTTCAAATTTAACAGTTGCATCATCAACAGCCAATGTCTGTGAAAAGAAGGCTGCACCTATTGTTGATTCCTGCCCACACAACAGACTATATAAACTCAGCAACAGAGACTTAATAAGTTTATCAGACTGTTTCTTAGGCTTTGGCAAAAACTAGCAGACATGAGAACTAAAACCGCCAACGTGCAAATTGTTGTAAAGAGAAGATCGAGCATAATCGTTTTCCCTCCTTTGTTTCCTCAGAGTACCATAGTAAACTACATAGCTGGAACCATTTACTCTCACCACATTCCTGAGGAGAAGGGAAAAAGCATCCATACCTATGCTTTATGTGATCAGCAGAAACAATTCTCATCTTCTGAATTATAGATTTTAGAAATATTGCAATTAAAACATCACAATGCTGATAAAAATTGAATTCAAATTATAATTTCATCCGAAAAATTAGTTCAACTTCACTCGAATGAGCTAAATTCAAAATACCAAAATATTTGTTTGCCCAGGGAGAGAGACATGTAATTCAATGAACATTTTCAGTATATCAGTATATCAAACTCTAAATATACCCAGTAAAATTTCAAGCGCATCTAACTCAAATTCACCCAGTGAAATCTTCAAGAGAAGCTCCGAATTAAGTGAAGAGGTAAAGTAACCTGGAATTCAAGAAATTGACCCCTGACAAATCGCAAAACCAGGCTGGACTTTCCGGCGCCCATATCACCAAGGAGAACCTGATCATCAATTGAGAGTATTATAACCTCGAACCGTCGACAAACCTGGCAAGGAAACAAAAATGATGAGAGAATAAGGAACCGAAATCACACTCACCAATTTGGCGTTGAGGTTGTTGTGCCCGATCGTCGCCATGGTTATAAATCGGATCGATTGGAAGGGAAGCACACCGAGACCCAACCAATCGAAGAAGAAACAGAAATTCCCAGAAGTTGAGAGGACACGTCGGGTATTCTACACAATTAGCTGAGGATTGGAATCAAGGACAAAGAAAGAAGAATCCGAAGCAGAGTGTCTCTCTCAATTGTATTACCTTTCCCCCACGATGGTTGCTGCGTGCTAACGAATATTGTGCTTGTGTGTGTGTGTGTGTGTGTGTGATATACACATTGTTTTTGAAGACCAACTAAACCCGCATTATGCATTATGTATTTCTCATAAGAAAGCTAACATAATCTGATCTAAGTAAGTCCATAAATAACTGTTATCAGGTAAAAAAAAAAAAGAGAAAAAAAAAACATCCTCAATGAGTAGGTTAGGTATTGGATTATTGGATTACTTTAATAATATATGCCGACGACGATTAAGTAACATGATAAAAATTGTTATCAGAATTGCAACTATTGATAAAATATAATTATAATAAAATAGAATCAGCCCAAAAAAATGAATTATAATAAAGACGTTAAAAGAATTACATTTAAGTTTCACATAAAAAATTAATTGATATAAGATTCATTAATAATTAAACTAAATTATATTAATAACTGATTGTATTGTCAATATAATTTAATTTAATTATTAATAAATTTTGTAGTGGTTAATTTTTTTATGTGAGTTTTTAATATTATTCTCCATAAGAAAAGTGATGCTCCAGAGTGTAGCTAAATTCCACCGGCATGTTGCTTTTGTATATTATATGAGATGGGCAGATAATATATATTGAATTAAAGTATATTTTTATTCTTAAACTATTCTTGAAGAAGTATTCAATATTTTAAATTATTTGTCATGGTAGTTTCAGCCATAAAATAATTAAAACATAACATGTTTTCCTCTAACATTAAATACCTCGTTAAAAAATACTTAGTGAAATTTAAGTTTAAATAAAAATGTCACGTGTCCTGTTAGGTGGGTTTAAAAATGTTATATTTTAATTATTTTAAAAGTAAAATTACCATACAACAAGTAGTTTGAACATTAGATGCTTTTTAAATAATAATCTAAAGATAAAACTACACCTTAATTCAAATTTTTTTAGCACAACAAGTGATATTTGACTCATCTTAAATCTTAGTTAACATTTTTAACAATCAATAGGACGTGGGATATTCATCGGAGAATAGGTTGAGGACAAGAATATACCTTGATTCTTTATACCAGAACATATAAAAAACAATTATTATATTTTTCATACAACGACAAGAAAAATACAATAAGGGGGGAAAAAGCCAAGCTACGTAATATCATTATCCTGCAATATGTCCATGGCTAGATCATCAGGAACCATGCGAAGACCTAAAGGGGCACATGAAAAACAATTATACAAGATGAATGCATGACATTTTAGTTATAGAAGACAGAGCTTAACTCTAAAATTAATTTTATCATGTTTTTTATTCACTGATTGAATAAAAAAATAATTATTCAATCCTTTTAAGTTTTAACTGTTTTCAAGTTCAATAATAGATAATATAATAGCACTTATTCTTATCCAAAATGTAAACATCTTTTAAAACTAATTCGCATTCCAATAAAATTTCTACTCTCATAAAAATATATATTATTTGTTAATCTTTAGTCCTAATTTATAGCGAGTGAGAAGAAGGTCATGACAGATACATAAATTTAAATTAATAAATATAAGAGATAAAATGAAAAAAAAATACATTTTAATCCCTGCACACTTTGCTCATATTTTATTACAGGTCTTTATACTTTTTTTTTATATTTTTAGTTTCTACATTTTATTTTTTTAGTATTCGAAATCCCTAAATGAATAAAGTATAAGGACCTTGGATGAACATAAAACACCAAAAAATGAAAGTGTAAACATAAAAAAAAAGTACAAAAATCTATAACAAAAAATGAGCAAAATATAAGGACCAACAGGTATGTTTTTTCAATGAAAAATATGCACAAAATAAAATGGGTGGAGAATGTTTATACTTTAGATAAGATGGAGTTTGTAATAAAAGACTAATTAGGTTTTACTTTTCTTATTAGTCAAAGTATATATTTAATTTTTTAACTTTATATAACATCTCATTTTAATCTCTTAACTTTATAAAATATTTTTTAAATTTTTTAATTCTAACATTGTTAGTTTTATTCAGATAAATTTTTACAATAAATTTTTAAATACTGACAAAATATTCTCAATGACATAGCAAGTTTAATTTTTTTAAAATAATAATGATTGACACATAAATAATCATTTAAAACAAACGTTATTAGAGTTAAAAAATTAAAAAGATACTGTATAAAATAAATGATCAAATTTAAATCTTATATGAAATTATAAAATTAAAAATATACTTTAACCTTTATTTTTATTTTTATTTTTTTTGTCACAGAAAGCCAAATTAACGCTTACGCCTTATAGTATGCAATAAATTGAACTCGTGAATCATGATCTAATATTTTTAATGTATTTAGAAAATTAGAAAATGGCTCTATAGGAGCTTAGCTGGCTAGCCTAAATCAAACACGGGTTGACGTGTTGTCAAGCGCTGGTTGGTGCATATTTTTAAAAATTTTTTTATATCAAAAGAAAGGATACATATCAGCAAAATGGTTTTCCCTATTTTTTTAAGAGAATATACTTTTGATTAACAAACAAAATTAATTTCTTAAAATGTTTGTTTTTTTTTCCTTTTTATAAAATTAATTTATCAGCTACTTTTAATGATAGTTATTCATTTGTGTGCATCAGTTAACTTGTGTCTTATATTTGATTCTAATTCTGTAATTAGCTTTTTCGTGCACAGGGATTGATTGTAGTGATCCCAGTGTCAAGGACAACAAAAAGTATAGCAGTATTCTGATTCTTGAACTATAAAATTAATTAAAATATTGGTATTTAAATTTTAAAGATTTATTCTGTTTTTGGTCCTAACCATCATCAAAAGTAAACTTTTAAATCATATATTTTATTTAATACCTCACAAAGAAGTGTCAATAAAGAATGATCTTTAAATATAGTCTCTAAATGTCGACTTATGCTATTAGTTTTTATTTTTTTAACAAGAATAAAATTCATTTAGTCCATGATTCTTAGAAAGCAAATCTTTTTAAAGCAACTCTACTGGTTTTTTTATCATCAATATTCAAAAGTAAAAATTAACTTTTAGCGATCATAGAACTTTATACAATTACTTTTAACTATCATCAAAAGTAAATTTTTAAATCATATGTTTTATTTAATATTTCACAAAGAGATGTCAACAAAGAATGATCTTTAAATACAGTCTTCGAATGTCAACTTATGTTATTGGTTTTTATTTTTTTAACAAGAATAAAACTCATTTAGTCCATGATTCCTAGAAAGCAAATCTTTTTAAAGCGACTCTACTAGTTTTTTTGAATTATAAATAAAAGGATCATCAATATTCAAAAGTAAAAATCAACTTTTAGTGATCATAAAATTATGAACTTTATACAATTAATGAAAAAATAAAGGGAGAATTATGTATAAATCACAATTAATGAAAAAATAAAGGGAGAATTATGTATAAATCTCATATAAAAAAATTAATTATTATAAAATTTATTAATAATTGAATTAAGATCATTGTTTAATTGTTAATAAACTTTTTAATAACTAATTTTTTCATGTCAGACTTTTTTTGAATTATAAATAAATGGACCATCAATATTCAAAAATCAAAATCAACTTTTACTTATCATAAAACTATAAACTGTTGAAGTTGTCATACAATTAATATAAAAATAAAAGAAAAATTACATGCAAATCTCGTACAGAAAAATTTATTACTACAAAATTCATTAACAACTAAATTAAAGTCATTGTTTAATTGTTAAATTTTATGGTAATTAATTTCTTTGTATAAGACTTTAACATAATTCTATCAAAAATATAAAACCTTAAAAGCAAAAGAAAAATTGCAGGAAAAAAGAAAGAGGGGAAGATCTTGTCATTCATTTTGATGTAAATATACTCATTTTTATAAGAATGCATTACATTGGAACGTTTAAATATCAATGTAGTGATTAAAATACCATTTGAAGAGATCAAATCTAACTCTAGAACCAATTAATTAATTCCAATTTATTATGAGAGAGAGAGAGAGAGAGTTCATTCTAAAGAAGAATAAGGCCATGTTTGGTAGACTAGAATTATAAAGATGGAAATGGAATTGAAAAAAGAATCTGAATAAAGTGATGTTTGGTAGACATGAATCATAATTCTCAAGAATCCCAATTCCATGAAAATAGATTGAATTGGATTCTTTGTTTAAAGCTATGAAATCAAAGGCAATTCCATAGAATTGTGACTTTTAAGACACTTTTACTCTCATAAAAATTATAGAAAGACAATTTTGCCTAAAAACATATAACCCTAATCATACCCAAAAATGACCCCACCCAATTATAATATATGTGTGTATGTGTAAAATATAATACGATATATGTATTTATAATATTTCTTCTATGAAATATTTTACTTATATATAATATTTATCATCTATCTAATATTTTATTTATATACTAAACATGTGAGGAAATTAAATATTTTTTGTAAAATATTTTACTTATATATAATATCTATCATCTATATAATATTTCATTAACATATAAAATACATAAGGAAATTGAAACACAATTAAGCTTTTATTATGTTTTATTTTAATTTTTATATAGGTGTATTTTTGTCTTTTAAGTATAATTTCATTTCTATGTCTTACGTACCAAACAAAAATAATGTAAGGATTCCATCTAATTTTTCTAACATACCAAACATATTTTTATAATTTAATTCTATTCCAATTCTGATTCCAATTATAATTTCGATTTCGATTCCGATTCCATCAAAAACTATTCAGTCATACCAAACGAGGCCTTAAAACTTCTTTTGAAGTTCACTTCCAATGTCCACCGCTTCCATAAATGCTCACTATCAATTTGAGTTCTCCACACTTAATAAATTAAAATTATTATGGCTTTCAAAAACCGAAACTGTACTTGAAAAAGGGATTGAAAGATTCTTGTCACCACAACCCCTGCACAGTCAATGTCATCTGAAATAGTTGATACTGAAGTCAAGACATTTTAAGAATTTCCCAACGAAATGCTTCCTATTTATGGAAGATTGCTAATGTGGGGAAGTTACATCCTGGAGATCTGAAG